CAAGGGAAGATTGTGCAAATCAAGCGTGTACTTTGGAAGAAAGCTGAAGAAAGATTATGGTGTACGGGCTACTGTTTCGATCCCTTTGAGGATTAAAAATGTTGAGATGGCTCAGGTGAATAGAGGGATGGTGTGGCCTAATTATGGTAAAAAAAAGTCTTGAGGACAAAAGGAAATGGATGTGGATAGATGTGGGGAGATATGCCTTGGACTTCTAAATTGCAAGATATTAGTGGAGGTACGATGTACAGACCGAGGTAAAGAGAGGGAAAGGGATGAAACTCTACTCTCCTTTTGAGTCAATCCTTCAAGATATCAAAGTTCAAACTGGGGAAAAGGGAGCGTTAACCGAGGATTCATAAGAGAAGGAAGAAATACAGAGATCTGGGACAGATTTTGTAAATCATACAAGTACTACGGTAAGGATTCTAGGAATAGACAAGGCACAGATATCAAAATTCAGAACTGGTTCGGAAGGGAAGAATGTACTACGACTTTTGTGGAAAAAAGAAAGGAAGAATCCAAGTTTGGGAAATTTTACCATAGAAAAGCGGGATTACTCGAGGAAGGAAAGTGAGATACCTGCAGGGATGTCAAAGTGCTGACAAAATTTGTTCGCAGTAGTGATGGGTACAAAAGGGTTTATAGGAGGTCTTATCGGGGGCAGCTACTGAACCGAGGTTACAGAAGGTGCTTTCCTCATAACATCAGCAGTGTTCAAAGTAACAGTCGGGGCTGTGGTAGATTTCATATTAAAGGAAACAAAGGTACAATGCTGGGCAGTATCCGCTAGGTAAAATGAGCTAACAAACTTGGACAGCGCATTGGAAAACCGAGATTGTCAAGAATTGATAGAACCCTTCAAGCTGATGGGGAATCAGGTCACAAAGTGGCATGGAAAATTGGGAAAATGCGGGATCGTTTCTTCTCAAAGGAGAGGAAAAAAATCTCCACCCGACTCACTTTGGCAATTTGCGCCTATTGCTTGCTTCTTGCTCTATCTCATGATTTCTCTTCCAACCCTCGTTTTTCCTTTACGTTCTTTGCTCCCAAAGTCAAGATGTTGGAAGAATTGGCTTACCTCATACAACAACTCCATTTCACCGATAAGGAATCAGAGGAAATAGAAACTCCAAGAGTCATTAGCAAAGAATACCTTGTGGTTATGGATCGATGGGTTATGGCTAAGCTAATCGGGTACAAGAAAGTTGATTATGAAGTTATCTTGAAAGTGTTTCGTTCCATTTGGGGAAGCGAAAGGTTGGCGAACTCTATCATTTTACGGGTAAACATGTTCCTATTCACGTTCAAATCCTTGGATGATAAGTTGGCAATCATGAGAAGAACCCCATAGAGCTTCGATGGGAACATGCTAGCCTTAGCGCACTATGACCCACCGCTTAGCTTGGAGGAGTATGATTTCGCGCCTTTAGCCATTTGGGTAAGGATCCATGAGCTTTCATTGGGGCTCATGTGCAAGATTCCGACCATCAAAGTCGGCAACAAACTCGGCCAAACTATAGCGGTCGGGTAAAGGGCGAATGAAAGACTATCTCAGAGTTAGAGTGGAAATCGATAGCACCAAACCGCTTAGAAGATGTGCCAAGATGGGGAAAATGGCAAATGGCCAGCCAAGGAGGTGTCTTCTCAAGTATGAACGCCTCCTTTCATTTTGCCATTGGTGTGGCATCATTGGCAACGTTATTATCGAGTTCCTCGGTTACTCAGCGCAGCTCCAACAACCACTTCAATACGGGGAATGAATTCGTGTGGCGTCAACAAGATCTATGGAGAAGAACAGCTGCACGAGGCGGGAAGGGGTGGTGTATATCAATAGTAAATCATCCAACAACTCTCTCTCTTGCACGGAAAATAGCCCAACTTCGGGTATACTTCGAAGGAATGCTCGAGGCCGACCTTGGATCCCAGGAAAAGACCTTCTCCAATCGTCTAGCCCTAACTTCGATGATGAGATTAATTCTACTAATTCTGAAAGTTTTCCACCACATGTATGTCTCGTTCGAGACTCGACAAGAGAAGAGGGAAACCTTCAGAATCCTAATCTGAGCGTTCAAGCAAAAGTTGGCTCTTCAAGTTCGGGCAAACGCAAGGGAGGAAATAATGGCAAAGGAAAAAAGAAGTACAAGAAAACTCTAAGGCATGATTTAAATACTACCATGTCCACGATGAACTCACGTGTTGGAACTAGTGAGGAATATGACCTTAGCGAGCCGGTTAGTGAGCAGCAAGGGATGTGTTTCTTACGGCGAAAATTGAGGTGCCCCGCCGATCTCCATGATCGCTTTATGCAGGAATTGTCAAGGGCTTGGGGACCCTTCGACAATTCAAGAGCTGCGGAGACTCATCTTCGAAAAGGACCCTCTATTTGTCTTTATGTCAGAAACTAAGATTAGGAAGAATAAGGTGGAGTCGATCAGACTTACTACTCGGATGCATTGGCTGTTTTTCGGTAGACCGATCAGATGATTGTGTTGGGCTTTTGCTGCTATGGAAGGAATGTATTACCGTCTCATTGAGAAGCTTTTCAAATATTCACATTGATGTGGAGGTTAGATGGAAATAACATCTTTTTCAGGTTCACGGGATTTTACGGACGGAGTGCTTGGGCGGACAAAAGAAGAAACTGGGAAACTATTGCAAATCTAACCTCCTCTTCTTCTCTCCCATGGTGTATGGGAGGGATTTTAATGAGATCTTGCATGCTTCGGAGAAGGACGGAGGAAGAAGACGGTCTAATGTTCATATGAATTATTTTCAAATTTGTCTTCGGGATGCAGATTTATAGGACATCCGGCCTAAGGAATGATGGTTTACATGGGCAGGTGAAAGAATGCATCGACAGATTTGTGGCCACCAATGTTTTGGCGGCTTATGTTTCCCGATTGCTCAATCACTACAGTCCCGACCTCTTTCTCGAACCATTGTGTGCTTTTTCTGTGCTTGGAAAAAATTGCTCCTTCTCGGTCACCTAGAGCTGATTACTTTAAGTTCGAAGTTTGTTAGGCGAAAGAGGAGTAATGTGCGGACATTGTTAGATCCATATAGGAGAACGAAGATGGTTCCTTCTTGTGCAAGGTTAAGAAGGAAGGAGATAAACTCAAAATGTGGCAAAGGATGAGACGATTGCAGACGAAGAGAAATGAAAGGCGACTTCGAGACTGAATTTTTCATTTGGATTCGACCCCGGTTTCAGACCTTGTTTACGAACGGCATTGTCAAGCCATGGCTGAACTTAAAGAGATTATTGATAAGGATGAGGCTTATTGGCTGCAGAGATCTAGGGTGGCTTGGTTGAGAGATGGAGACAGAAATACTACCTTCTTTCATGCTATAGCTAATGGAAGGAGAGAAAAAAAAATTGGATAGAAGGTATTGAGAGCGAGAAGGGTGTTTGGTGTGACCAATTGGAGGGCATCTTCGACGTGGCCACAAGTTACTTCACCTCTCTCTTCTAGTCTTCAGGAGCCGAGCCCGATGAGGAGATTCTGCATGTCATTGGTCGCTATGTAACGCGAATAGACAACGATTTCGGAATATTGTTGGCCATGATTTTGTCTGGTATTGATGGTTTGTCCAGTTATTTCTACCGTAGTTTTTGAAATATTATTGGCCATGATTTTGTTAATCTGTATCTTGATTTGTTGAATGGTAATATGAACTTTAATGATGTTAATCGCACTGTAATAGTGCTTGTTCCCAAAATTGATAGTCCAAAATTAATGAAAATTTTCCGACCAATTAGCCTTTGTTCGGTCGTCTATAAGGTGGTGTCGAAAGTCATTGTTAATCTTTTAAAACCTTTGATGTCAAAATGCATTGCTGAAAACCAATGTGCTTTTGTTTCGGGTAGGCATATCTTGGACAACTTTCTTGTTGCTCACGAGCTTATTCACTACCTTCAAGGATCCAAAAATGGACCAAATAAGGGGGCGGCTATTAAATTAGCTATGGAAAAAGCTTATGATAGGGTCGAATAGGATTTTGTTATGAATGTTACGATTAGAATGAGGTTTAATGAATTCTTTGTTAACCTCATCCGTAATTGCATTAGCTCTGTTTTCTTCCAAGTAAGGCTTAATGTTGCTTTGTCCGATCCCTTCACAAGAGGACTCTGGCATGGTGACCCCTTGTCCCCATATTTGTTTTTATTTTGTGCTCAGGGACTCTCAGCTTTACTTCTTGAGGCACAAAGGAAAAATGATATCAAAGGCATTCGGGCTAGCTTTCGAGGACCTAGAATCTCTCACCTCCTATGCAGATGATAGCATCCTATTTGTGAAGAACTCCGTAGAGGAAATGAGGAAAATCAAAAGCATTCTCTTGAAATATGAAAGGGCATCAGGACAGAAGGTTAACTTCGAGAAATCCAACATCTACTTTAGCCCTAATACTCTTATCTCTGATCGATCGGTTTTTCTTAATTTACTAGGATTGGCAAAGGCTCGGGATCCAGGTAATTACCTTAGTTTGCCACTTGCTTTGGGGAAATGTAAAAGAGCGGCCTTCAACTTCATCAAAGATAGGACTGCTAAAAGAATTTAAGGGTGGACCAAGAGACTACTATCCTTCAGAGGTCGAGAAATTTTCATCAAGTCTGTGGTTCAAGTGCTCCCAGCGTACGCCATATCTTGTTACTTGTTACCGGAATGTGTTATTGAGGATATCAAGACCCAAGCGAGGCCATATTAGTGGTCGGGCAAGCAGGATTATAGAGGTTGGGCTATGCTTGCTTGGGATAAGGTTTGCCAGTCTAAAAGATTTAGTGGGATGGGTTTCAGGGACCTAAAGTTGTTCAACATTGCCCTCTTAGGCAATCAAGTTTGGAGACTCATCCATGATGATGAGTCACTAGCATTTAAGGTTCTTAAGGCTAAGTATTTCCCTTGTTCAAGTTTTCTTGAAGCTAGACTAGGGACATGTACTCTTATGCGTGGGCAAGCATTCTTAAGGACAAAGATGCTCTGAGTGAAGGCTTTTTCCCTTTGTCTTCTAAAACACCGCCACTGTTTAAATCACACTAAAACACACAGTTGGGTCTCTCTTTCAGCCAAAACCCAGAAGAAGAAGAAGCTCTCATCAATGGCTAAAGGGGCTTCTAATTGCCTCTTTTCACCCCTTTTCTTTCTTCTTGTTATCTGCTCTTATGGTAAGTCAATCCCCTCCATTGCCCTCTTTTACTTTCTGATCTACATTCTTTTTGGTGCCCGATCGCGGAACTAGATCCGATTTCGAAACCGGAAACAGAACTCTTTCGAATTCTATCTATATGACTGAACCTGAGAGTTTAGGGGATGGAGCTCCTTTGAGCTGGTTGTTGCTGATGTTCATATATTGGAAATTCATATATGTTTATGAGACGTTCGGTAGAAAACCGTAGTCAGTCATGATATACGAGTTGTTCGGTGTTTGAATTTTTTATCTATCTGAGGAGATAGAAAGAGGAATAAGTGAAAAAAGAGATTTCAGATTCTTATAACGATATTGATCGAAAAAATTTATAATATAACTTTTTTATGATTGTATTAGTGTTTTGCGTAATATCATATAATTATTCGTAGATTAATAGGCGCAATTGATGTAATCAGATTTGATCTTTAACAAATTATATGGATATGTAAGAGTTCATGTCAATCATGTTAAAGGGTTGTGATTTTTTATATCAAAAGATATTCTTACGAAGTTTTAGTTGTAACAAAGTTCTCTGAAGAAACATGAGAAAATTGATCGATATATGACGGAGGATATATGAAGATGGTACAACTATATATATATATATATATATATATATATATATATATATATTGATATGCATGTATGATGCATTACTTATGACTCCTTTTGTTCCTACTGCAGCTGAAGTAGGTGAAGTTATTGCTAAGGCTGATAAATCAACAATGGAAGATTTTGTTTCTTCTCATAAAACACTCCTCAATAGCGTCACAAGAACATCACAACATGATATTATCTTCCCTCTAACTAATCCCTCCCCGACGATCGTCACTGTACCTGCCACGAACCCTGCGAATATGCCGGGACCGATCTCAGTGCCTTCTACGTATCCCAACAACCCGACTACGGTACCTGTAACCAATCCAATCACGACACCTGCACCCATAACGGTGCCAGGTGCAGGGGTGCAGCAGCCGGTGACGAATCCTGTAACGACGTATCCCGCCCCTATGGGAGGAGTCCCTGTGAGCACACCGGTGCCAAATCCTGTGCCTCCTACTGCAACTACAAATTCTCCTGCAGTTCCAGGGCAGAGCTGGTGCGTGGCTCGGACGGGAGCATCTCAGACTTCGCTTCAATCAGCATTGGACTATGCTTGTGGAATCGGACAAGTTGATTGCTCGCAGATCCAGCAAGGTGCTAACTGTTATAATCCGAACACATTGCAAAACCATGCATCATATGCTTTCAATAGCTACTATCAGAAAAATCCGGCACCAACTAGCTGCGACTTTGGTGGGACTGCAACCATAGTGAACACCAATCCAAGTAAGATCTGTTCATTTGTTCGAGGTAATCATCTTTAGAAACGTTTGAATGTTTAATGATATGTCTTATAATAGGCACTGGATCCTGCATTTTCCCTTCTTCGTGGTCGCAATCGACTCCGACAACAACACCAGCAACATCGACATCAATAGGGGCAGGTGTACCAGGGTAAAGAGTTCAATTTGATTACTTTGACATAGACACTATTAGTATTACGTATGCTTAAACTGGAGAAATGAGCTTGAAAGCATTTTGCAGCTCGGTTACCCCACCTTCGGTATTAAACTCAAGCACCCCTAGCTCGGACTCTGCTGCCACAAGTGTTTTTGGGTCCAACATACCTCCCAGCTTCAACACATCGACGTCCATGTCACTCGGTTTACAACCGAATTTTAGCAGCATCATTCTACTGACAATGACATATTTCGTTGCTCGGTTGATCTTAGAATCAAGCACCTTCCTATAGACCAGTTTATTCTTGCTGGGAAGAAACAGGTGACCTTTGAGTTCCCAGATGACTGCTTCATAGCAGCCTAGTCGTGTTGACGATGTTCGTCACCCGGATAAGCTGCTCGAGATGCAGAGATAGTTTATTCTTAATGTTCCAAAATAGATTAGTATATCTTTTATCAGGTAGTGAAAATTATAGGTTTGAGAAGGACCATTTTGATAAAAATTTCTTGGATTTGTACATAGAGATGGAAACTGTAATGCTAATGGGAAGCAATTTGCAAGGTATTGAAATGGGAAAAAAGAGAAAGAATGGTGACATACTTGAAATACCAGATTGCATTAGTACCTACAACCATAAAGCTGCATAAACAGTTTGATTGTTGAGTGCATCGAATTCTCAATTGACGAGTCCTACTTTATCATTTAAACTTTATTTAAAATTTTGGCCTGAATTAATTCAAGTTTATGTATAAATTTAATATAATTTGACATATAAATTATAACATTTCAAGCTTTATTTGCGTAACCTTTGGGAAGTTTTGTTGGTTATTTCAGTTTCATCTAGGAAAAATATGGGGCTTGGAACGATCGTATAATCTTTTCATTGATTGTTGGACTGAATTGATGAGGATAAATAATTTGTACAAAATTGTAATTACATGATTAAATAAAATAAAATTTAAAAAATAAGAGATTAAATAAAAAGATTTATTGTGAAAAATATAAACTGAAGTTATACATATATTCGTATTGATCGAGAAGTACATAAGTTATGATGAGCTTAAAACGGATGAAGAATTAAAAAAACAAAAAAATTATAAAGTTTAAGGATTAAATTGTAAAAGAAAAATTAAAGTTATATTGTTATTTTAAAATTTTACAGTATTTACGTGAAATTATTTATAATGATATGTCAACGTCGTCATTAATTTTTTAACGATAAATAATAAAAATAAAATTAAAATAAAACGTTATATATGATTTTAAACTTATAATAATTAAATAAATAAATTAAATAATAAATGGATGACCAAATAGCTAGTGTACCCACAAAATATTTAAGAAGCCGCACATCAATGGAAGTCTATTCTCAGGCCAGTCACGTCGTCTTCTCCTCTCTTTCCCCGTCTTGTTTGATTGTTGATATGTAATACACTTCCAATTCCAATGTTTTTAAAGCTTTCGACCCTAAAACTAAAATTTCCCAGCAATATCCCTCCATGGCTCAACTTCCCCGGCTGTTATTTCGTCTTTTCATACTCTAATGCTCTGCGATTGAACCCAGAAACCTCCATAAACCCTCCATCACTTGACGATTTTGAAGAAAATATTGGGTTTTTAAAGAAGAACCTACATCCAGACAACTTAATCCGGGTTTTGGATAAAACCCAGGATTCCAACTCAGCTATCAAGATATTCAAATGGGCTGCTTTGCAAAAAAGCTTCAACCACAACGCTGATACATATTACCACATCATTTTGAAATTGGGTTTGGCTGGAAATGTCAAAGAGATGGACAATTTTTGTCTAAATTTGGCTAGAGATAGACACGCGGGTTCTGGTGAGGCTCTTGCTTCTTTGGTTCATACATTCGTTAGACATTCTAGGCTAAACGAGGCGATTCGGGTTCTGGGGAACATGACATCATGTGGGTTTAATCCCTCTGTTGATGTTTTCAATGATTTGTTGGGTGCTCTTGTTGGAAAAACAGATTTTCAACATGTCTTGTTTGTTTACAAGGAGATGGTGAAAGGGGGAATTGTACCCACAGTTGCTACTTTGAACTCTTTGTTGGAGGTTTTGTTTAAGATCAATAGGATTGAATTAGGTTTGAATCAGTTTAGGAGGATGAGAAAGAAGGGTTGTTGTCCTAATGTTAGGACCTTTGAGATTGTTCTAAAAGGTCTTGTTTTGAATGGTAGAGTTGATGATGCAGTGCTCATTTTGCATGAAATGTTGGAACTCAGGTATCAGCCGGATTTAAGTTTCTATACCTGCATCATCCCTTTGTTTTGTGGAGAGAACAGACTCGAAGAAGGAATGATGCTATTAAGGCGGATGAGAGCAGCTGATTTAGTGCCGAATTCAGTAATTTGCAGTAAAATGGTTCGTTGTTTATGTATGAACTTTTGTCTAGATGATGCGACTAGCATTCTTGAAGAGATGATGGAAATCGGTGAGATTCCACCCGTTGAATCTTTTGTGGATGTAGTGAATGGTTTTTGTGAAGCTGAGAGATATGATGAGGCAATTCGTTTCTTGGAGAATAACTGTTATGACTTAATTTCTCCTCATAAAGCATTGCTCGAAGGTTGTTGTAAGGCTGGTAATTTTTTTCTTGGAAAAAGTCTTCTTGAGAAGATGTCTGAGAGAGGCATGGCTGATTGTGATTCTTGGAACATTTTACTCGGATGGATTTGTGAGAATGTGGGGATCAATAAAGCTTATGAGCTTCTTGGTAGAATGATTATACGGTCAGTAGTTCCTGATTGCAGCACATATGCAGCTCTTGTTGTCGGTAACTGTAATCTGAACAAGTACAAGGATGCTTTAGAGCTATTTTATTACATTCGGTGCAACTTCTGGGTTTTGGATTCGAAATGCTATTCAAGGCTAGTTGAAGGCCTTTGCCACCTAAAAAGGATTGAAGAGGCTGTTGAAGTATATTATTACATGTCTAAAAGTAGATGTCCCCTTGAAGTCACCACATTCAATATGTTGATCAAGGCTGTATGCGATGTTGGAAATGTGGATGAAGCAGTCAAGCTGAGGTCACTGGCTTATTATTCCGGTACTTCCTGCTCTACTTCGATTTATGTCACTATAATGCTTGCCTTGCATAAATCTGAAAGGGCTAAAGATGTCTTGGTAGTGCTTTCCCAAATGGTAATAGGGCACTGCGAAGTTGATGTAGAAGCATACTGTATCCTGATACGAAGTATGTGTGCACTGAATAGGTTTAAGGATTGTGCTTTGTTTTGCAAGTTAATGATTACGGAGGGTCTCATGCCTGATTCAGAGACTATTCATAGCCTTTTCTCTTGTTTAATGATTCATTCTCAGTTACATTTGGTGTCAAATGATATCGGTGAAATTATTTCTAGAATGGAAATTCCGGATTCAACAATATTTAATATGCTGATTAATGGCCTGTGGACAGAAGGGTGCCAGAATGAGGCTCGAAATTTGTTAGATTTGATGTTGGAAAGGGGTTGTGTTCCAGATGCTACAACTCATGCATTGTTCATTGGATCAAATGTCGATAGGGTAAAAAGTAGGGGAGTGCCAACATACAAAAAATCAATGGATGAAGACAATGTCAGCAACATTCTTGCTGACGCATTGGGAAAATGATAAAGAGCTTGATACTTGGTATGGTTTTTTTATTTGACTGTGTATCCCCCCGTAGTGGTACACTTACTGTCCTCCCAGGCCCCAGCTGTATATTTTCTGGTCATGCCTTCATTTATCACCCACAGAAGAACAAAAAGTCATGACATAGATCTTCCTTCAATGGCTTTCTAATTATGGTAATGGCAGTTTAGTATGTTTTATTACACTTGAATATTTTAAAATCTTCATAATTAGTCATTTATACTTGCATGGGGAAGGTAGGTAGGGTAATGGTAAGTGGTGACCATGTTCATCCTGTTTTTACATGGAAAGGATACTTTTGATATTTCTTTTAGATATTGTTTATCATCAAGTGGACAATCCGGGTACTTGACATACATATTCTATAAGAAATCATTTATTCAATAAGGATCAGCCTGCGGGCATTTGCGGAAAATGTAGATCCAGGATTTTGTTTGTTTAAGGACACAAGCCTTCACTTCTCCTGACAGCTGGAAATTTAATTTCATTCCGTCCTTGTTTGCAGGTGACTGACTTTTATTTAGACATGGTAACATTTTGAATCTGATACTAGATGCTACATTTAGTGAGAAGAGGCACTTGTCCAATCTCAAATGCTGAACCGATAGCAACTTCAGAAACCTTGTTTAGTTTCTGGTGAATAATATGCTATTGTGGTTACGTATGGAAGTTCTTTCTGCCTCCTCTACTTTCTCAAATTTTTGTGGATATAATTTCCAGTGGTAGAAGACTGCAAATCGAGCTGTGTACAAGGCTGGGACTGCTCTCTGTATGTGCTTAATAAACCCTTTTTTGTTGAGACTCCATGATCCTGTTTAGCCATAAGGTTCAGAGACGGCAACCATCAATATCAATCCGTATACAGCAATTGCCTGTTCCATGCACTCATCTAAAAGTTGTGTTCCATTCTTCTTGCGTACACAGTGAGAGGGTGACAGCGGAGCAATTGAAGCAGGCGACAAGCATAGAAGTTTGGAGGCAGAACAATTGAAGCAGGCGATCAGTATAGAAGTTGGCGGCGTAGGACACTAGTAGGTGCAGAGGACAGGGATGGGTTCCTATAAGGTGAACTTGCAGAATGGGATGCATAGGCCAGCACATTTAGCATATGATTTGGATGGAAATGGATTGCTTAGGTGAACTAATACTGTTATCACCAACTAATTTATACGAGCACCGCATCTTAAGTTCAGCATCACTGTTATGTTTATGCACCATCTTTGTATTGCTTGGCTTTGCCAGAGGGGAAATAACAATTTAATTGTAGATTTTAATTTCGTAATGCTCCCTAGCCATATACTCTCTGCATGTGAAAATACCAATGTTTTATATATCAACAATCCAACAATCTTCGACAAGCTTGGCCAAATTGGAAAAGCAACACATTCATTCACAACTTAAAATGTTAAATGGGGCAGAACACCTAACCAATCTCTCACTGATTATACACCAACAAAATTTGATCCAAGTCGATGGTAATATACAGATTTCCATCAACGAGGACACAAATAGCTTAAAATAACCATTGTTTTCCTACTAGTCATTGACATGTTCAATACTCATAACCTTTAACTAGAGACCTAGTGAGCTAGAAATAGAATTGCACCTAATAAAACTATTTAACAATCATCAGGCAACCTGTGTCATCCTTAATATAGAACCTATCAAACACAAAAGAAAGAGGACTAGTTAGTCCAATGGCAACAGCAACAGAACTTAACAAAAGAGATGAAGCTAAAAGCTAAAGGCTAATAGCATCTGCAGAATTCAGTTAACTCATCAAATATATTCATATCAGACGATAGACGGCAGCATGAGGAAACAAATCCTTGCTGATACGAAAGCTGAAGATAATCAGCCGAGTAGTACAGGAAAACAGGCTCCATTGTAGCACAGCTATACGCATGCGTCACACATACAGCAAGACACATTTGCAGAAGTTGCAAGTGCAAATGCTCATAAAATGCAATGCAAGTTTGGGAAAACAATTTTTGTTTCTTGTTTTGTTTTGATTTTTATAAAACATGCAATGGAATAATGTCATGTCATTTTGGTGTTCAAGGGATAAGCAGTGCTATATTTAAGTGACAAAAAACTAATACTTACCGACTTCAACACTCTACAAGAGCTCTTTGCAAGTGGACTTGTTGTGCCCTAGCCCCTTGCATCTACTGCACTGGAGTTGTCGCTTCATTACCTCATGTGATCCAACTTTCTTTGTGGGAGGTCGACCTGGTGGGCGGCGCGTTGGAGGAGGAGTTACTGTCACTAGAGCTGATGAAGAATCCTTGTGCAGAGGCCTCTCTACATCTGGAATAGGTTGTATAGACTCTGCATAGGTTAACCTGTAGCTCTCGGTTGTAAAGTATCTGGAGCAATAGTCATATGGGCTTCGTCCAATGCAAGTGATAACAGAAATAGCATGAGAGCACGGCAAAGCAGAAAGTTGCCAACCTTTACAACTGCAATCCAAACGATCCATGTCAACGATTTCAGTTGACTCACCACGAACCTCAAATATGCTACCAGTAGTCAGTAGCACTTGAAGCGTACGGACTTTCATGCCCTCTTTTGTCAATTTTTCCTCCATGAATGGAGTCAGCCTTGTTAACCACTGATCAGAAGTAGCCCTGCGGGTATAAATTAACTCCATAATCTTTTGACGTATGACGTCAACCATCTGAGTTATAGGTAATTCGTGTGCATCTGATACCCAACTGTAAAAGAGTTCCCCAAAGTTTGATGTCATATGGTTATATCTAGCACCCGGGAAATATGCATTTGCCCAATTTTGGGGCTCACTTTGTATGACCCAATTGTAAGCTTCCAGTGAAATTTTTTTGATGCTGTCGAGATATGTCTGGAAGAGTTCAGGTCTAGGTGCCAAAGCAGCATTATGAAGGTCATCAACCATGAGCCGTTTCATCTCATGAGAAAACTGCCCTTTCAAGTCTCTAATGAGTTGCTCGGTTAAGTAGCGGAGACAATAACCATGAAATGAACCCTTGAAAATTTCAGAGATTGACTCCCGTAAACCCTTCTGTATGTCTGCAACAAATGTTATAGGGAAAGATGTTGATAAGGCAGATTTCAGTTGTAGCAAAAACCAATACCAGTTTTCATCAGTTTCAGCATCTACGACAGAGAAGGCAACAGGAAATACACCATCATCCCCATCAGCAGCAGTTGCAGCCAACAAGGTACCTTGATATTTGGAATTCAAGGGTATGCTATCAAGAAAAAGGAGAGGCCTGCAACCTTGTACAAAGCCACACAAACAAGCATGGAATGCGATAAAGAGGCGATGAAAACTAGAGTCTTCCTTAGTGGAGTACGTAGCAAGACTGCCTGGATTGGTCTCCATTATCCTCTCGCAGAAAAGTGGTAACTGACTGTATGCAACCTTATATGAACCCTGAAGCTGCTCTCTGGCAATTTCTTTTCCACGCCAAGCCTGAGAGTAGTTCAGTTGTATCCCAAATTCTTGTTTTATGTCAGTAACAATATCCTTGGGTTTGTAATGTGGAAAAGCTTTCAGCCTCTCCTTTATTATACTAGCTACCCAACTTCTATTTGCTTGATGTCCAGTGCTCAAAGCAGACCCTTCACAAGTATGTGTTGGATTCATCTTCTTGATACATACCAGCTGAGTGGTTGACAACCTTGACGCATGAATTCTCCAAGGGCAGCCTTCTACTTTGCACTTAACAGTCACACGGTTGCTATCGTTCTTATAATACCTAAATGAAAACTGATGTGCAATGGCATATTTACGTATTGTCTCACGGAATTCCTGAACACCAGTGAATCTTTGCCCCACCCCTGTAATTGTATTCTGCCACTGCTGAGTGCTTTTAGAAAGTGTAAGCATGGATGAAATCTCAGTTGCCGTCTCAATGGGAATGATTGTTGTGGGCATCAACAATATCAAGTGGGGCCGCAAGAGGTGGATCAACTGGAGCCACTGCTTCAGACAAAGTTGTCCTACTCGACCTGTAAAAAAACAGAACACTCAGCTTTGAGATGATATATCAAGAAATTACAACTAAACCTTTATCTTACAAGTAAAGTAAACTACCTACTGGCTGGCATGTTAGAAAAATCATGAGCAACATTTTCCTCCTCCATTATGATAAACATCAACAGTTGCAGAATTCCCATGAAATTTTATCATCCGCTTTAAATCCTTCTCATTGGAGACGGTGATGAGAGTCTTTTTGTTATCTGGGAGGAAGTACTTAATAGACATAGTATCCATGCTAAGATTAAACATTTCTGCTATTTCTGTCTTGAAGTCTTCGAACTTCGTTTGATCATCGACGTCTATCGCATGAGCATCCCCCCCTTTATAAAACAATGTCCCACTATTGTCAGTCTCAAATTCACCACCCGATTGACAAACTGCTATGACCCTTTTTGCAGCCATGACCTGTCAATCATAGAGAAAACGAGAAATACTTCAGGATAATCCATAGAAACAAAACAACAAAAGCAGAACATATGGTTTGAATGAGGAAGTCAGAAACTTTCATGGTAGAGAAAGCAACAAAAATCTAGTTCAGTAATCAAGTGTTGATTAAGGAACGGCGAATTAAGGGTCGATTTTGGTCAATGCAGAAACAATAAGAAACAAAGTATTACAATTAGAACAAAAGACCCAAGTTTAAAAAGGTGCAATATTATAAAATAGGAAAATTTGACCTAATTGGAGACGGAGATTTCTGAAAAGCAATTTCTACCAAGCAGACCGTCGATACTGCAAGCAAGACATGGAAGTGAGAAATCTAGAAGCATTGGAAGCCAAAAAATCTTTTCAATTTTGTTTTAAAGAAGACTTCAAAAATCAAACATAAAGAAACGAAGAAACCCTAACAAAAAATTAAAATTTAAAGAAAAGGGGGAAATACATGAAATTATTGAGCAAATTGGGAAGAAATGGCGTACCTTTTAATTATGACTTGAGAAGATTAGGGTTCTTTTCGGGTAAAACGTAATAGATTTGGGGCTTCTTTTTCTCTTCCGTCTCTTTTTTCGACGACAAATCAGGTTAGACTGAAAGAGACAAAGAGAGGGTAAATAGGTAAACCAATAAGTATACATCTTCTTTTGGTTTAATTACAAATTTAACCTCCATGTTTATATTTTTAAATAATTTTGACATCAATCTTTAAAAAAGAGTGATTATTTTTTAGGGTAAATTGCAAATTTCATCACTAAACTTTACTCTCTCTCTTATTTTTCTCAATAAACTTTGAAAGATTTTCATTAAACTAAATAAATTGAGTTTCTTTTGTCATTGAACTTTACTCTCACTCATTTTGGTCACTCCACCATTAAATAGTTAACGGCGTTAACACTGTTTTAAAAAAATCACCCAAACGAAGTCGTTTTGCATCTATATACAACACATTTTAACGTTGTTAACTATTTAACGGCTGATTGACCACAAAAACTAAATGTATTAAGTTTAGTGAGGAAATTGAAAAAATTTAAAGCATAGTGAGTAAAATATGAAAGAGAGTAAAGTTTAGTTACTAAATTTATAATTTACTCTATTTTTATAGTAGAATTATCGACTAAAATGTTAAATTGTTATTTTGTTAATGTGCACAAGTGAACTTAACGATTAAAAGGATGATTGTTATTCTTGAAAGTTTTAGGTTCGAACAAAACATCTATAGATGTGTTTAAGCGTTCATTATCAAATATTTCAAATTCTTTCGAATATACCACCTTATAATCACTTAAGACAATAAAAATAGGGTAAACTATACGGGAGACCACTAAATTATGGTCAAAAATCAATGTGACCACCGAACTTTCAATTTAATCAATCAGACCACCCAACTATTTAATTGATTCAATCAAACCACCGACCGTTAATTTTTAACAGAGATGGTGATGTGTCTGCTAATAAAATTGACATAATTATATATTTGGTCCTTAATATTTACATATTCTATCAATTTATTCACTATTTTAATTCAATTAAATAAATTTAACTATCCAATTAGAATGTGACAATGTCAATATATGATTGAAATGAAATGAAAATAAAGGGATAATCTTCTGCTCAAGGGGAATCGAACCAGGGTCTTTGAGGGGGGATAGAGCAAGCACCCAAACCATTGGGCCAAAGGTCCCCAATGGTTTAAAGTTACTTTAACATCCCAATCATCGGTTCAGTGCCAGAATGTAAGAATTTTTAAATTTCGTGAATGAATTAGAATAAATTTGAAAATTCAGAGATTTATGGTGGAAATTTTGTGTAGGGCTTA